TCCTTGGGATGTTGATCAGATTTAACTCCTCCAAGAGATCCATGTTGATAGGCTCATCCTTAGATAAGATGGTGTGAGTCTCCCCATGTAAGATATACCATCTCAACACCGGCGATAGTGAAGCCCAGATGTAAGGAGATACTGAACCTGGCTTTGATATATTCAAGGCAGAGATCTCCTTCTCAAATTCGGTGTAGATAGAGTCGTCGATGTCGACAACACGATTTGGGTAGAAGGGCTTGATAACTGAGATGTGCTCGTCGATAAGGGGGCACCAGTGATAGCTTCCTTCTGTTGCTAGCGACTTGAACTTGATGATGACTTCAGGAGATATAGAAGGATGGTCTACAACAGGGAGATACGGTTTACCATGGATGAGCTTATTGTGATCCTCAGTACCAACTTGAGATCCCCAGACAAGATAGCGATAACCATCCAAACCATCTTGAGTGAAGATAGGAGTAGCTTCTTCTTGATTACCACCGTTCTTGATAGTCGGATAGATGACAGACTTATCGTTGATGATAGACTTGGGACTGCTGGATGCCATGATAGATACGGGGATACAGATAATACTTGAAATAAAGTCGAATGATCTATCAACTATAGATGATACAAGGCAGCACTAATACGATGAACAGCGCGTAGAATCCGGAAGGACTAAATCGATCAAGTGATCGATGAAAACGCTCCGGGCGCAAACAAAGAGGACACAATGGTGGGGATGTAGTAATCACCAATGATAAAGATAAACCTCAGAGAATACTTATCTATGAGATCTGCTACTTGTGAGGGCTACCATGCAGGATACACTTAACCGATAGTTGAGCAAAACCTTAATTAAATCTATCGATTAACTTAGAGCTCCAAGGGTTAGATCCATGGATCCCCAATCCCTAAGCTGTAATGTAGCTCCCTTATAAAGGATCGATGCTGCCGAGTTAAGACGGTAGTAGAACCACAGATGTAAACCAGATCAGAGAAGAAGCACTTGCGTAACCTCGTTTGATCATCTCCGATCGAGCCAAGATAAACTCTCCCTTCGTCTTCGTCGGTGTAGGCTACGATACCGACACCTCTGTTAGATGTTGAACTTGATAGGGATACCACCACACTTCCATCAGGAGGGCTCATAGATAAGATAGCACCAGTGGATAATCGATCCGATTGGGGAAGATGTCGTCTGAGGTTACTGATACCTATGGGAAGGGGTCTCGTAACCTTAATAGCAGTAGGATCATGCTGATCTCCAGTCTTCTCTTTATCTTGTTGATGGCGAT